ACTTGGAAAAATTTGAAATACACTAAGTTAAACATGGATATAGTTAAACAATAACCACAGGACATCTCAGACCCTTTAATATGTTATGTTGCTTTGATTAGATAGAGTATTCAGTGCCCACCAGACACCTCTACTTCTGAGATTGGATTCTTCTTTATGGCAGCCAACAGTTAATAGGAGGCAGGATGTGTATGTTTGGAAACAAAAGGAAGTAAAGCAAGGGCAACAGTGCCTAGGAAGACATTCTGAACAGTGTGACTGAAACATTGGGGTTCCAAGAGGTACAGAGGCCTTCTGATGTCAGGGAAGGAGTCTCCTGTCTTTGTACCTGTTGTGATAGGATGCTTAAAGCTCCCCATTTAACCCAGCAACAAGAGTCTTATAGACCTCTCACTTTGTGGGTATAAGAGAATAATGAACACCCAGGTCCTGATCTCAAGGAGGGCACTATTTCTGAAGATAAGAGTAGTTAAACTGCTAAATGTGGTATACTTGACAGATGCTTCAAAAGCAACGATGAATCTGACAAGGTCTTTAACTGTGATTAAGCAAAGAGGTTTAATATAATTTTAATTCTAACTTTTGGGGACAGAAGTGAGCATCATATGAATAACTCTAAGCCTTACACCCAGTTTCATAAACAGAAAATGTTTACTTTTTTCTTCAACCAAGTTTTAAAATAGACCACGAAGCAGGGCCCTTTGAGAAATCAGAATTGACATAATAGTATGGGAGGTGTTTCAGAGGTAAACTCTGTCCCTTGAATGGAACTACAAATGTAGATTCCCTTTGATGGACCATGTCCATTATTTTTAGAATTTTGAGTTGTATCTTGTTCTGGCATGTCTTCTGTTGATGGCTTACAGTTTAAGCTGGACCCACCAAATACAGGCACATGGACAGTTGCTGGGGTAAATGAAAGCCTTTCAGTGAGAGTAGAGTACATAAGGTGCTGCATTTTAAGGATACATCTTTGTGCTTTTGTGTTGACATGAGCTGCTTCACTGGACTTTGACTCTATTCCTACTGCTCCCTGTTGAGAGCCAAGAAGACTTCATTACACTTTCAGTCATAGGTGTTCATGAAGCAAGCATGTAAAATATTAATATAAATATTAAAAGTTTCCAGAGAGTTTTCTAGCAGTTTGGGGATCCTTCTGAGTCATGGTGGAAAGGAAACTAAAAATAGTCATATATAGATATTATTCTGTCACCGTGTCTGGTATCTTATATATCTCTATATGCTATAGATGAGCAGGATTTGGGATAATCATGCTATATGCTTGGAAACCCCTCAACACACCACTATAGAGAACCAGCCTCACAAATAGTTGTTGCAATGTTTGTGGTGATGCTCAGCATCCTCCTGCCTTCTTGTCTGCTTTCTTGTCTCGTGTTAAATGGGTACCTAATAAATCTGTACTGGACAGAAGGGGAAGGAGTACTGTCAGATGCTAGTGTTGTAAAAGGACTGCCATCAAAGAGCTACCTTTAACTTGGATTTTTACCAGCTATTTGAAAGGTCATCTCTTATGTTTGGTTTTGTGTGAGCACTTGAGTGATGTCTACATGTAGCTTCTCAGAACATCATCCACATCTAAAATAGGTGACAGAAAGTCTGGCCTATGGTCAGGATGGGGTGGGTAGGCAACTTTACAGCTCTCTCCTCCCTCATACCCATTCAGCTGGCTGCCTTTTGGTGCAGAATTTGTGTGTGGTATTTTGAGAGAACATTAGAGATGGATTTAAACCTTCTCCTCAGCATTGTTCTATAATTAGAAACTTCTTTTTACACCCAAAGGAGTTTGCACCTGAATTACAGTCCAGTTGGAGGAGTGATTTTATACTATTGATTTGAGTGTTATTCTGGTCTCACTTTCCATTGTCACAAAGAAACATACATTCATCATTTGGGGAGCTGGATTCATCTGGACTCAAATCCAGTGATTGTCTTCCTGGAAGCATCCGTTTCTTCATTTTGACTAGAAAAGAAAAAAAATCACTTGCTCTACTAACCAAAATCATGTGATAGTTATGTATTCTGATACTGTGTTACTGAATCTTGTGGAGCCAGGAGTATATATGAAACTCCCACTGTACACAAAAACTCCAAAAAGTTTAGTTAGTACTTTTGGTGAAAGAGCCAAAGGGGAGAGGGACTAATATTATTAAATGTTCAAGGGAATGAATTTTCTGAATTGTTTATTTTTAAAACTTAGGTTTTTAAGTGGATATTGGACTGTAACGAGATACAAAAGTGAAGCCAACCTGGTGATCACTGTGTCTTAAAGTAGATCCATAGTGATAGTCTATAGAGCCTTCAATGTGTATGTGTAATTAGTAGCAATGATAAGGTATTATGCCAGTAAGAATACAGAAGATAGAAGGCATTGGGTAGAAAAGGAGAGGAAGAAGAGTAGAAAAGATGTTTTATACTATATTGAGGTATGAAAATAGGCACTTGAGTGTTGAATCCATGAAAGGGCATTTGATTCATATTAATAGAACCTCTGCTACAGCTAGGTCCATGCTTCTCAAGTTTGAGTGTGCATCAGAATCCCATGGAGGGTGTGTCCCCTCTGAGACTGCTGGCACCATCCCCAGAGTTTCTGATTGAGAAAGTCTGGGGCGTGGCCTGGGAATTTACTTTGCTAACAAGTTCTCAAGTACTGCTGGTCTCAGGCCACACTTCCCTAGGTCTAGGCTCTAGAGAAGACAGAAACACTAGGAAACTTTCTGTCTCTGGAACACCTACTAGACCAGCTGATAGGGGAGGACCTGGCCTTACTCTAGACTTTTAATCATGGCCCACAAAGGAGAAGGAAGGCTTAAGGTACTGAACACCTTTAAAAGATGAGTATAATATCAAGGTCACCATCACAGAGGCTAGTGTGCTGTATTTTCTGAAATAGAAAGACAACTACTGTAAGCATTGCTATTTTCATGTCTTTTAGTACTGAGGTAAGGGTATTTAACCGGTGGTCTTTCTTGATGTCTGTAAACTTGGACATTCTGGTAAACCAGACATCAGACATGAGGGCAGTTTTTTGTTACCAAAGTTATAAGAATATAAAACCTGCCAAGGTTTCTCCAAAGCAAGACATCTGGTTTAAAGCTCAAACCATTGCTTGTCTCATTTTTAGGAAAGTAAACAGGACTGAGAATTGTGTTTATACTATTTACATGTTTGCCTTTCTTCCTTCCACTGTCAGTGATGACTGAAGTTTTAATTGTTTTTGTTTCCTTCTTCTTAATGTGTTAACAGTAGTGATGCTTTACTGAGTCCCCCACAGGGAAAACAGATTGTCAAGCTGCTGGAAGTGTGAACTGGAATATTAATGAAATGATACTTTGAGAGCTTCTAGTTTTACTACCAATACCTGATTTTTCAAGATAATCCTAAGAACAGTTCTTCATCAAATTTGACCTTATGGCAGAAGAACATCAAACTTTTTTCCTTCCCTGATGTTTCATTGGAGTCATAAAATGTTATTAGTTTGAGTACTTAGTAGCAGTTGAGGGGTGGCATATTATTGGGGGTTTCATTTTTTTAACCAATATAGAAAGCCTCGCGGCACGAAATAAAAATGTCACCGTGTAAAATGCAAAGGCTTTCTGTCACAAATGTTTTTAAAAATTCATGAAGGGCTGAAGATTTGATTTATCTTATCCTCTTTCTGTGATTTATTCATATTTAATGTTAGGTTCGACGTTTGAAGCATGAAGAACTTTTTCAAATTAAAATCTGTGGTGAATCAGTTTTATTTGAAGAAAAATTCCACCCTGCTGGTTTTTGAATTATGCAGCTCGTTCCTCTTCTTGTGTTCATGATGTTTGGGCTTCCTAGTGGCTGGGATTCTCACTAGTGAAGCCCTTCCTTAGGGAGTGAAATTTACCCAGCTACTTGGTTGTGACAGCTGTTTCTCTGGTATCAATAGACACTTTTCTCAGGTATTAATCATGGTTAGACAAGTGCAGTGGCAAAGGAGAAAGAGTGGGGACAGCTCTTACCTGTGGAACTATCAGCTTGTTGGTTTGTGTATTGGCGTTTTTGTTGGGGCTGCTCAGTAGCCTGTGCATTCAAGAACATCTTTAGGCAGAGGCAATATCCAATCTTTTCTATGGATGATTCATAAATAATGGATGGTAATAGCATTAACTTCAAATGAAGGAAAGAAAGTGAAGTCAAGGCAGACTATACTTTTTTCTCTCTTTTTAACTAGTTAATAGGCACATATGGTCCACGGCAATGGACCTTTTTAAGGCCGTGGAGTATTAAAAGACTAGTGGAAAAGGAGCTGCTGGGCCTCCTTGTTTTTCATTTTGGGGACAGCTAGAGAACAAGAACGTACCCCTGTGAAGCAGTTGGAATGTTAGATGATGAGAAGGAGTCATAACAAGGCCCAGTTGCCTGGGACACCTGGCTTCTGCCTGCCCATCCACCTGCCTATTCATCTTTCTGTCCTTCTAGCCCTCCATTCCTTTATTTCATCCCTTTTATTTCTTCCCTCTTTTTTCCATTCTTCCACTCACAGTTATTTTGGAATACTGCCACTGGGCCAGGTACTGTCCCTCCATAGATTTAGTTAATGTCTCATAAAATGAAGGAAACTGTACCTGGGGAATGATATTGGCCAAATATCGAGGTATTGTGTGCATGTACAAATATGTAACAACAAATCTCATCATTGTGTACAACTATAATGCACTAATAAAAAATATGGGGAAAATAATAAATTCTTAAAGACCATCAGGGAAGAAAGAAAATAAAAGGTACTGAGTGCTTTCAAAGATGAAGCTGTTTTTATGAGGCTTCCCCTTGTTTGTCATTGAAGATCAGAGCTATTAAAGAGTGGCAACCAGTACACAGAGCAGAGCATAAACTTAAGGGAGTGGTTTTTAGAACCAGTCTTGAGCATTTTGTCATTATGATCTGGATTTTGTTCCTTTGCTTGATGAAGAGAATTGTCTTGATGTGTTAAATTGTTTTTCCCCCCTCAGACTATTGGGAAGAAATTGCCTCCAGCTACAGTGACTCCAGACCCGTCGAAAACAGAAATGGACAGCAGGACAAAGAGTGAGTTTCCTTATTTTAAAAAATCCTTACGTAATCTCCATAGCTTTTTCAAACATGTCAGAAAAAATCCACACAAATGTGTTTCATTAGATCCCCCATGAGTTAGATTCAGAACTTTGTTTTTTTGTTTTGTTTTGTTTTTTGTTTTCTCTCTAAAACATGTTTTTTTTTCCTGCCATATGTGTCTTACCCATGTGCAGAGCTAACATTTATCCATGTTTACAGAGTACTTTGCATACTTTAGGTGGCATAAATATTCTAGAAATGGCAGCTCGAGCACTATAGGGATTCACAGACCTTCAGGTCAAAGAACCTTAACCCCTTTTAGTCTAACCACTTAGCCAGAACTACCCAACCTTATCCTCCCACCAGCCTCCTCAACACGTTTCTGCTTAAATAATTCTAGATACTTCTGGAATGTCTGCAGGCAAGAGGCTCAAGTCTTTTTGGAAAGATTAAGTGAGTGGATAGAGGGTATTAGCCGTGTTTTGGAACAGTGCTAGCCAATAGCCATATTTATAATTTAAATTTTTCTAGTGGCCACATTAAAAAGAAAAGAAACAGCTGAACTGAATTTAATATGTTTTATTTAATTCAATATATCTAACTAGTATCATTTCAACATTAATTTATATAAAATTATTAAATGAAGTACCCTCATTGTTCATGTGATATCTTTATAATACCTTATGTGTTTTATAGGTGTTGCATATCTCAGTTTGGAGTAACCACATTTCAAGTGCTCAATAGCCACATGTGCCTATTGGTGACCATGTTGGAAAGGGTAGTTTTATAGTAATTCTGTGACCTAAGATGGGTTTCCTGGTTCTAACCCACCACATCTTATTTGTTCCTACAAGTATCTATTAACTATCTCCATGTACCCAGCTCTCTAGAAGCGTCATGGCAGGGGAATGGGTTACTAATGAGGAATAGATTTACAGAGGCAGGGTGGAGTGTTTTGTCTTAGAGTCCTAAGACAGTTCCATTGTTATTAGCTAGTGGTGTGATTTTCTTTGGAGAAATAATTTGATTTCTCAGGCCTTCCTCTTTATTGTCTACATTGTCTATGAAATCAGGGGTTGTACTTGAGAAGACCCCTCAGATTTTTCCCCCCCACATCTTAATCCTCTGACCCAATTTTAAAAGCTTTAGGACTCACCGTGAAAGTTTTCATATTCAAAGTGTTGAACAGCCAGATGGGAGAGACAAAAGGAAGATGTGAACAATTTGAGAATATGGGAAGATGTCCTACGCATACATGTTAATATGACTGTAACTGAGTAGTGGTAAGAAAGGATGATTATCACTGTCAGCAAAGCCTTGAGGGATGTTTACTGATGGACATTATTTATGGATTTCAGGGCATGAATTTTGTAGTTTAATCTTACCCTGCACACACTACCTCTGGCTTTCATTGCCAAGAGCAAATTCTACAGTAATTATTCTTCCATGATTTCCATTTAGTGGCTCCCTAGTCTACTAAAAATCCCCCTTCATTTGGATCATTTCCCTGCTTTTGCATTTTGAGGCCACATTTCTGTTCAGGTGGAAGGTGCAGAGTACTGACTAGTTATTAGAAACAACTCTGAGCTTGCCACCCAAGCACTCTTCTTCCTTCTTCCTTCTGCTCTGAAGACAAACTTCTGATGAAACTTGCCCTGCAGCGCAGAGGAGGGCAGCTTCTTCCCATACAGCTGTCTTAGCATGCTCAACTACGAGCTCACATCAGAATTCTGAGTTATAATGACTCAAAAAATGTTCATGTGAATATTTTCTGAGTGAAGGTGAAACTCAGCTGATCAGGATTTAAACAACTAGCATTATCCCCATCCCCCTCCCACAAACAAAAAGCTTTTATGGCATTGAAATTCATGGGAAGCTCTTGCTTGGGAACAGATTGCTATAATTTTCATAACAAGAGGAAAAACTGTCTAAATATTCATAATGAAGTGCCCTGAGGTGCCTCCAGCTCATCACATCTGGACTTTCTTTCTCTTTTTTTTTTATTACAATTGATGTAGATTTGTACCCCCCCTGGATAGGAAAAATAGCCCCCCAAAAGGGCAGTTCAACATCTTTCTGAACTAATGGTTTAGTCTTATAGATTCAGAAGACCAGTTTATCAGGTGGGTTTGAAAAATAAAAGTCCTTGACAGAATTTGTACAAAGGCAGATCTGGCTTCTGAATAAATGATGGCTGGTGGGACAGAAGTCAGGTTTTCCCTGCCCAACCTCACTCACTTTATAACTGCACATTTGTACCACCTGTATGATCACCCTGTTCATCGATTTGCTTCTTAAGAGTTGTCCAAGCGGGAGTTCATAATCCACTTGAATCAAACCGTGTAATATGATGTATTAAGAACTATGTAATGTTATGAACGACCAATAAAAAAAAAAAAAAAAGAGTTGTCCACCATGATGATGACACATGGTGCCTTGCTCCTATCGTTAAATCATTGGTCCCTCTAGATCAAAGATGTATATCCCTTACCATGGATATCCCTTACCATATACCCTAGAGAAGTGCCAGGGGCTCAGTGGGCATATAATAAATGGTGGTTGAGCAAATGGAAAGTTATGAATGACTTAGGACTTACTGGGCTTTGAATTGAACACAGGGTCTTTTAAAAGCTAATAGCCATGGGCCCCTTTCCTAACCATGTAGTCACCAGTAGGAAAAGGATACATATGTTTATTAAGACCCATCTTCTGAGTAGTTAGCAGAGATTATCAGTGTTCCTTGGGACTGACAGACCCTTTACTCTTTCTTGCCACTGCTTTCACCCAATTAGCCTCAGACTACCAGGAACTAACCTGTAGTCTGATGTAGTCAAAGTGAAGTTGATTGGCTCATTGCAGTGAAGGAGACTGCACAACAGAGGGCCAGTGTCTATCACATTAAACAAAAGAGAAAAAAAAGCCAGTGTGGTGGTGTATGCCTATAACCCCAGTGACTCAGGAGGCTGAAGCAGAATGATTGCAAGTTCCAGTTTAGCTTTGACAACTTAGTGAGATCCTATCTTTAAAAAAAAAAAAAACTTGTTTAAAGTACTGAGAGTACACCTTGGAGGAGACCCTGAGTACAAAGAAAAAAAATTTTTTTTAGTGAATTTAGTGAAATGTAAATGAAGCTGTGTTTTTATAGGTACAAACAAAACAGGGCTCTGTGGCAACATAGTCAGCATCCCTCTAGATTGGAAGGTGGACCCAGGTCCTATTTCTTCAGCAGTTATGGAGTGAAGCTTGAGGTGCAATGCTGTATCCAGAAACCCTTATACTAAGGCTCTGCACTTGTGGTGGTAGACAGGTTGCTTCTTTGGATCAAAGTCACTTAGTTCCTTAAAGCAAAATTGGAATGTTTCATTCTTACTGAAACAGTTTTTAAAAGCAGGTTTCTGATAGTCTGTGGTTTTAGGGGAAAAATTTTCTTGGGGGAATAAGAAAACAATAGTTGCTCAAAAATGAGGGTGGTTACACTTTATACCTGTAGCACATGCTTGGGAGAGACTGTTGCCTGTTCTGCAGCAGCATTGGTCTCTTAACCCCTGCCTGATGAATGATGGGCACATTATTACTCTCTTGGTCTGAGCTGATTGTTGCTTTCTCACTACATGTTGAAACAGGAGAAAAAAAGGGCCAACTCTCTACTGTTGGGAAGCCTTGGACCCTTTTTTCCATGCTGGATCTTTCTGCCCACTTATCTACCCCAAAGCTCACTCATTCTTGGGCTTGGGGTCACATTCAGTATGAAACATGTTTCCTACACACCTGATGTGTACAAAAGCCCTAGAGTTCGAGGTCCCAGGAATCCCTCCTCTTCTTAGGAAATACCTTTCATCAAGTGTCCCCAACACAGACCTTGCTATCTGGATGATAATGAGGGCCATCCTGTGAGAGTACCTGTCCTACCCATATTGCTTAAGATCTGCATTTCAAATACAGTTCTCTTGGAGAAGATTTTGTGTTTTCTTGGTGGATAGCCTTTCTCCCAGAATCTCCAAGCTTCTCATCTGAGCAGAAGAAACTGCCCCTGAGAGGAGAGGTGATCTGACCTCTGTTCTATAGTAGAGAACAGGATGGTTTTGTTTCTCAGATTTTCATTTCTTCTTAAAAAATAAAAAGAAGCCTTCTCCTTTTACAAGAGAGTAAAATGTATTATAGTTAATACCTGGAAAGTAATAGGAAAGCCAATTTTCCAGCAGTGTTTGAGACCAAAGGTGGTTGCTGTGACTTGGGGTTTACAGTCAACTTCATAAAGAAAGGCGCTGAGTTAGAGTTGACATACACAGTGAAGTCTACATTGGGCTTTATTTCCCCAAGTTTAAATGTAGACCAGGCCACTATTGACATTTGGACTGGACCATTCTCTGTTGTGGAAACTGTCTTGCATGCATCACAGAACTTTTAGCAGCATCCCTAGCCTGTATCCAGTAGATGCCAGTAGTACTCCTAGCCCTAGTTGTAACAACCAAAAATGTCTCAAGGTATCACCAAAGTCCCTTGGGAGCATGTCTCAGTCCATTCTGTGCTATTATAACAGAATACCATAGACTGAGCAATTTATAACTGATAGAAATCTCTTTGGTTCATGGTTCTGGAAGTTGGGATATCCAAGATCCAGGAGCTACATCTCAACATGCCATCTGCCCAATATTTGCTTACCCACCCTGTATCAGCCAGAAAACTAACATTACCTGGTGTCAAAAAAAATGTACACACTGGGCCCTGATCTGGTGCTAACAGAAACTATCAGCCTTGAAATCATTATGAACAAACAGTTCCTGCTGTGTTCTGATGTAGTGGAAGACATCACATGGGCAGGAGAGAACAAGATATTGAACTCACAGCCTCAAGCCCTTTTATGGTCAGCATTATCCATTCTTGAGGGTGGAGTCTTCATGACTTAACACTTCCCTTCAGGCCCCACCTCCCAACACAATGGCATTGGGGAGTCAAGTTCTAACACATGAGCTTTGGGGGACACATTCACACTG